AACGAGTAATCTTCTAAGTGTTATACCATTTTGGAATCGTTATTAAATGCGCCAACTTTTAAGGTTACTTGCCAAACTCTCGTAGTACATTTTTTCCAGTACAGCCAGTTAAACTTGAGCAAAGTTTTACTTTGGAATACTTGGTTGGGAAATAAGTGGCAATTTTTCCAGAACGAGAAAAGTTGGCAGTAAGGTTGATACACTACTTTGAAGATGCATTATTCATCATTACATTGTAAAAATAGAATCCAAAAAAAGTTAATATTTGTAGTAACAGGAGTTGACAGACTGCCGTAGGGTGTGAAATTTCTATATTTTTTTCAAAAACCTATAATTTTCAAAACACATACATACATTTTTTTTAAATATTTTTCTGATAGCTGTTATGACTTTGCCTATCACCCGGTTTCGGCTTGACGTCGACTTCTGGGACACCCTGTATATAAAAAAAACATCCGCCACTCTTTGCCACAGCTAATCCACGAAGTTCGAGTTGCTTGTAATGAAGTGCCACAATCAGACATCGATCGACTCATTTTGTCGATGCCTAGACGTATACAGGAGTGTGTGTATGAGCTGCGGGGTTTTCCGACACATTATTAATTTTTTCCTTGTGTCTTCATATCGTCGGTTGACAGTCAGAATGATCGGAGAAGAGCCAAACTTGACTTACACCACCGTTCATCAGATCAAGAACAACTGGGTGTTGCAACACTATGATGCTCTTAGTCACACAGCAATGTAAATAAGTGAGCTTTTGCCCAGTAAGAACATTCCTGTGGCTTCTCAGCCTCCTTATTCGCCTGACTTGAGTCCTTGTGACTTTTTTCCCGAAGTTGCAAGATCACCACAAGGGAACTAATTTTTCTTCAAACGGGTGTAACCGACCAGCTGAAGGCTAGTCCAGTATCGGAGTTCCAGCACTACTATTAAGAGTGGAAGAACCATCTCTCGCGTTATGTGGCTTAGGAAGTTATTTTAAGGGAGACAATAAAATTGTAATTATATTTAAATAAAAAAAACAGTCTCATTACTTGATTTACAGACCTCGTAAGTGCAGTCATACCTCTGAGGGATTATAACTATGTTTGCAGATGACATCACAATAAATGTATCTGCAAAAGATGTGAATCACCTTCATACCAAAATTCAATGCGTACGAGTATTGGATAATTTTCTATCCTGGTGCCAAAGAATCGGGTATCCTAAATTCGAGTGAGACTACTGTAATATATATTTCAACATCGCATAATTAATATAGAACTGAATATATATGACTATTTTTTATCTGACTCTTATAAATTACTGGGTACAGATTTTGGCAGCAGACTAAATTTCCTTCAGGAACATATTGATCATGTTTGTAAAAATTTAAGTGTTCCGCCATTCTGCTGTTAAAATATTCTCTATACGAAAAAGCTCTACTGAACACCCATTATGCACTGGTCTATAGTGTGACCCAAAAAAGAATAGTTAGAATAATTGTTGAAGTAAGGCAAGTTGTGTCCTGGAGAGAAATTTTATATTATATTCTTATTCTGTATTGCGCTCATATTTTGAAATTCGTATCCTAAGTTAAGAAGTATAAGTTTCCAAATAATAGTGTTTATTACGAGTAAAATGCAAGAAATAAAAATTTAATAATATTCCAGGAACATACTAGGCAAAACCTGGGAAAGAGCCTGGCACATGTGTACCAATGTGAAGCGCTGGCCTGGGTCCTTTTCCAGATTACCAGAAAATGAGGCTGCTTTATCCCTATTTTGCACAAAATTTCCCAAATTACCACTGTATCATGTTATTCAACCAATTGCCAGTAACAATTAAGCAAATATGTAACTATATTTCATTTAAAAAAGTAACTGGGTACTCAGAATATAATAACTTGCAATTAAGTATGTAAAGACGATTTTAATAATGATGTATTGTTATATTTTTGATCTATACGTATATTGCTTTGTATTTTCTTACAACATATAAAAACCTGTACCAAGGTGATATACACCGCCAGGTTTCTAATATATCCTGATATTTTTTAAGCTTTTGTGCAAATACAATAAGATTATGACTGTAGATTTACAATGAGACATAGATACTTGCCTTTGTTACGAAATGTGTCAAACTATCTACCAAATGTAACCACATGCATATCTGGATAGCTCTAAATTATAGCACACACTTCTATTTTACCCGTAATCACAAATGATAGCAGTTAATGGATAGTGATATCGTATCGCCCTTGGTAAGATTTGATCTGCCCTTATTTCTATGAATGGATAGATTTAATCATAAACGTACAGGGCGTCCCTCTATACGTGAATTGACCTCCCTCTTAACTTTTTATATCACCTTCTAGGAAAAAATATAAACAAAAATTGTAAGACCGGTTATGAAGTTTTTCAAGTCTTTTTTGTATGCCGAGTGTCTCAGAAAAGTATCATCAGATTAAGTTGTTGTTGTGATTCCAAATATACAGTGTGTCCGAAAACTGAACAATGATCCTGCAGCTGAAATGGGTCGCATCATGAGTTATTGTTTGGCAAAATTGTGTTGTAAAAAGTCCCACGATTTTCGAGATATCAGTCTTTTTCAGCAAAAATCGTCACTCGTCTAATTAAATTGTTGCCATTTCTACAAATATCAATTTTTTGAGCCGGATTTGTTTTATTTGTATGTTGCAGCAAAATCTATATGAAAACTGTTCTAATGCAACATGTCGATGAAAATCAATTTATACGTCTTTGACACCTTGTAGTTGTTGTAACAAAGAATGGGTTAGGATCGCCGTGTCATATACTCCAAAAAGTTGGTTATTTAATTCCATTCTTGCAATGACACTATATTCTATTCTATTTTCTATTTTCTTTCGTATAGTGAAATTTGTCTAGCAGTTACCAATTACTACAAGACGTAGCACGTGAATGTCCTATCAGGTGTTTGTTGTAGCTCAATTATTGCATTTCATGGCCTGCCTATTCATATCAATATATTATTTTTATTGGGCACCAGTATTGAATTATCAATTTAGGTAATGGATGCTCAATCGATAGACGTTCATTTGTTTGAATGAATCAATGCTTTGTATATCTTTAAAGTATAGCTGCTCCATCTAGTAGGCAGTGGAGTTACACAGATAATAAAGCATTCTCGATTGAGCTTAATTATTTGAGAAACCGTTTATGAATCAGTGTTGAACGAAACCTACTAGCATAGATGGTAGTTTTGATTGAAATAATTGACAAATTCAGACTTATGTGGAAAAGCAAGGAGATATGTTAAGGGATAGGTCTGACCCAATAAAGGAGGAGAGCACCTTAAAAAAAGGAACTCAATGACGAACATTGGGCCTAAAGGGAAATGAAGCCCTGTCTAAAAAATATATAGGGTATCCAAGATAAGGTTATATTAGAAAAAAAAAGTTGCGTTCCTTGGAGCGTATTTACATGCTGTTGAGAAGCTAGTAAATATTTCATGGCTTACTGACGTATTTGGGAAAAACTAAAATTTGGCCAAATCGTTTTTATTTTTTCTGAATTCGTAATATCATAAAACTAATGGAATTTTTTCAATAGAACTTTTAAGGCGCTACATGATGGGGTTTTTATATTTTGTGTCCTACGTTTCGTTTTTGAGAAACCATCATGAAACTTATTTTTTTATATGATCCGCAAAAAGTACACCCTCTATCTGATAGCATCGTTTTCTACAAATTCAACATATTACATTTGTTTTCTCCGTTATAAAGAGTAAATATGCTTTCTTATTTTATTTAAGTAGGCGTTGCAAACAAATGCTTAATGTAAAATTATGTGATTACTGATACATGTATACTGCATATTACATAATGATATGATGAGCATTTTCCTAATTTGACCTAAGCTGTATTTTCCACAGGTATTGAAATCCCCATGCATAGGATCTTTATGTTGGACACCCTGTATAAAAACGACAAACTTAGAAATTATGTAATCTTTTGTTAAAAATTAAGATGGGGATTCAGGGAATTGTGCATCTAATGATAGATATATGAGGAGGTAACCAAAAATACCCGAGTTGTCGATCTGGCTTGTTTCGTTCCTTATTTTTGCTAGAACTGTTTCGTTCTTGTTTAATTTTTTACGATGTCAAGCTTCAGTGAGCAACGTGCAGCTGTGAAATGTTGCTTTCTAATTGGTAAAAGTGCTGCTGAAACTGTTTTAATGTTGAAAATAGCTTACAAAGATGATGCTAAGGGAAAAACTCAGGTGTACGAGTGGTTTGCTCGACTTAAAAATGGCGACATATCGATTGATGACAAACATCGCTCTGGACGTCCATCAACTGCCCGAATTGACTAAAATGTTGAAAAAATACCAGAGCTTGTGCTTGCAGACCACCGACTGACAATCGATCAACTATCCGTGAGTAGAGGATTGTCCTGCAGTTCTGTTCAGCGAATTTTAACAAGATTTGGGAATGAAAAGGGTTGCTGCCAAGGTGGTTCCTCGGGCTCTGACAATCCAAAAGAACACCGAGTTGAAACACGTCGTGCTTTGAAACAACAGCTTGAATCTGATCCAAATTTTCTGTCAAAGATCATCACTGGTGATGAGACTTGGTGCAACGGTTATGACCCAGAAACGAAGCAACAGTCAAGTCAATGGAAGACGCCATCGTCACCCCGTCCAAAAAAATGTCGTCAAGTCAAATCAAACATCAAAACAATGCTGATTTGATTTTTTGATGTTAAAAGCGTAGTCCATTCCGGGTCTGTTCCCCCAGGTCACACTGTGGCATTTCTAAGTAAGACTTCAAAAACCGTTTCGAACAGTGGAAGCACCGGTGGCACAAGTATATTAGTTGTAGTGAACAGTATTTTGACGGAGATAAGGTTACTTTGTGAAAAAGTTGAAAACAAATAGCTTTTAAAAAATATTTCCGTTTTTTTGGGTACCCCTTCGTATATCAGAAAAAGGATGTGCTTTTAACTATCAAGCTACGACGTGAAAATACCAACTTACCAACTAGCACCACAGTCATTTTGGGCTTAGTACTTTTAAAGATTTGTTAGTAAACGAAAAGCTAGCTAAATTCAGTAAGTACTTTTGACATTTCCCTTCATATTTCAAGGTTATATAATTTTGTCAGATATAAATTGAAATAAAAATCCGACAATCTAAACATATAAGGTATGGCAGATAGCAATGGTCGAAACGAAGAGAACTTCCGGTAAGCTTTTCATGGTATTATCCTCATTTACAAAAAAAACAACTGCTCTTCCTCCAACGATCCGGAGCCACCTCATGAACGACTAGGTTTTTCCAAGGGGGCACCCATGCAATCTTATTGAGTTGAACGTCATTGAAAGTATAATTTGATCTGAATGCACTGGGAAAGAGCCTGGCACATGTGTACCAATGTGAAGCGCTGGCCCGGGTCCTTTTCCAGATTACCAGAAATTGAGGCTGCTTTATCCCTATTCTGCACAGAATTTTTACCCGACTGCCTCGAATGGAAGGATATGTTTTTCGAGCGTGGCTATGTGTATGTACGGGGTGCGGCAGACAGGGTGGACGGTTTTAAAAAAAATCATAAAATAGTTAACTTTGACTCGAAAACAAATCTATTGATGGAATCAGGTTCACAAGGAAATAGCATTTGAGACAGTCACGTGTGGAAAATCACATCAGGCATGTGGTGGCCGAAATCGTTGATGCAGTGCTGGAGGCGTTCTTGGAAGTTCGCGTAGACTCTCTCCAACATCGCTCTCTCAACTTGGGCGACTTCCACGCGAATTTCGCCGTGCAATTCGTCCAGAGTTCGGGCCTTGTTCGCGTATACTCTAGCCTTGAGGTGTCCCCATAAGAAAAAAGCACATATGGATAAATCTGGGGACCGAGGAGGCCAATGAACATCGCCAAACCTGGAAATAAGGCGACCAGGGAAGAGAGGGCGAATAACGTCCATGGATGCTCGGGCTGTGTGGGCGGTCGCCCCATCCCGCTGGAACCTCACACGTTGGATTGGAACACGTCGCCGTCGGGGTTCAGGGAGAAAGAAGTTGGTGATTATGTCGACGTAGCGCTCTGACGGTAACATCATAACCATTACCGTCTTCGAAGAAGTAAGGGCCAATGATGCAAGTTGGCGATACAGCGCATCAAACCGTTACTTTTGAGCTGTGCAGCGGTCTTTCGTGTAACTGTTGCGGATTTTCATTAGCCCAATAACGACAATTCTGCTGGTTAACAATGCTGTTTAGGTGAAAGTGGGCTTCGTCACTCATAGGCGAAAACGCGGGGTTCCACCGTCCAAGGCTCCATAACGACAACTGGTATAATAATGCTAGGATCTCACGGGTCAAACGGCACCCTTCCCACCTCTCTCGTACACGGAGGCGGAGAGTACTACCCATCCCAAAAACGTCCGTCCTCTCTGCCGCACCCTGTATCTATCCAAAAAGTCTATTCCACTGGCTAGAGGCCAAGCGGCTTGATGGATTCTGAGAGATGAGATTTGTCTTGGCAGCGAGAGTGATGCTGAGTATACCAAAACTTCGTTTAAACAAAATGACGGGTTTTCAACTTCAACCGTGTAAGTTCTATTTCACGTGCTACAAACCAAACGGCTTCATTGATATCATTATTTGGTGTGTCGTTGAATCGTCTTGATATGATTAAAAATTCATTCTTTTCAAACGGGTCTTTTATATTTTAACAATAATATACCTATTTCTCAACCATTGAACTTCTCTCAATAATTTGTCAAAAAACGAATCCTATATTACGATAATTTTTGTTTCTTCTTATGTACCTAATTGATTATTCTACCTATTGTTCATATTGTATGACAGGCTGTTACCAAGAATACTGAATGGAGGCTTAGCAGGCATAGTAGGTGTTATGTGTACATTTCCTCTAGATCTGGTGAAGACGAGGCTTCAAAACCAACAAGAACATGCAGGTATAAAGGAGTACAAAAGTATGTAAGTGGAGATAAGCGTTTTCCTTGACATCAAATTTTGCATTAATAGAGTCCCTTCAACAAATAGGTTGGAAACATGTTTATTCCACAAAAAATCAAGTACACCTTTTCCTTGAAGGTAGGAAATTTTGGATTAAAATTATCAAAGTTCTGCCGACAACACGATCCGTACAAGCCGGTGTACTTCAGGGTTCGGTGCTTGGACCAATTTTCTACTTTTTCTCTACTCTTTGTACACCACACATGATTTCTGTGACATCAGCAGCTGTGAAGTCCATCTCTATGTTGACGATACCATATTGGTGGCCGAGTCGTGGTCTGGTGGCCTTACCGTGAGAAGCTACAAAACGGGGTGGAGCCGATAAATAACCAACAATGACTTTACTTGATTTGTGGGTTACAGTACATTGAGATTGTTATACAGATATTTCTTTCCCAGATGGCAGAAAGGTCTTAACGGATAGTATAAGGGCGGATTTAGGAATCTGTCTAGGAGGGAGGGGGAGGGTCGCCCCCTCGTTCCACACTTAGCTTGCCCTCTCACATCATGATATGGCTAATACTCTGTTTTAGTGCCGATGCTTTTAAGAAAACATTACGTGCAGAAGGTTTTCTAGGAATGTACAAAGGTTCTTTAATAAATCTCATATTAATAACTCCAGAGAAGGCCGTTCTTCTAGCCGGTAACGATTTCTTCAGGTATCACCTTCAAACTAAAGACGGGTAAGTATATACATCTTTTCAACATACAGAGTTACCACAAAGTTGGGACTTTCCTTTATATATATTTTCTTGAAGAATAAACAGTTTTTTCTAGTAATATATACTCAAAAGCTTCAAGATTACCATTATTTTCAATGTTTCAAATTTAGATTCACTTACAAAAATAAAGGGTTACTTCTTCTAAAGTGAACAATGATATGACGGTTATAACTGACCGATTTAGAAATAGCATGAAACTTGTATTGCTTTGAGTTATAAAGGGTGGCGCATCGAAAACGAAACAGACGCATTTACTGGCAGCTCAGTTTTTTTTTTTTTTGGAAAAACGCTCAGACCCGTCGATTTTGTTTTCGAGGGGGACACAAGTTTGGCACAAATCACGTTGACACGCCCCCTGGGCGGTGGTGACACGTACCCTAAAATCTTAAAGGGAAAGGGGAGTAGAGTGATACCTTATTTTAAAGGTCTTTCAATTCCCGTTATAATGATGTAAAATAGATGAGCTTCAGTTCAGTAGTTTTGAAGATTTATTGATTCAAAGATTAAAGTAGACTTTAATAGGTACATCAGATTAGTTTGTACTACTTTCAGAAGAAATTTGACTAAAAGAATTTACTTAATAAGTAAATGCTTTTCTTCACTACGCCCATGGTTTGTTTATCATTTTTTTGCTGAAAATAGCTATTGATGCGTTTTTTTGTGGTAAAAAACTTATTTCTTGAAGAAAGATAAGGAAATATCTCGTACTTATTTTAAATAGGAATTTAGTAGGTACATAGTTTGCGATTGATTTGACGAAACATTGTTGCTAAAACAACTTGTAACGCTTTCAATCTTCAAAACTACTGAAGTGAAGTCCATTAATTTTATATCATTATAAAGGGAACGGGAAGACCTTTAAAATAAGGTATCACTCGACCCGCCTTTCCATTTAAGATTTTGGGGGTGGTGTCACCCCCGCTTAGGGGGCTGCACTTGGTAACGTGATGTTTTGACAACTTGTGTCCTCCTCGAAAACAAAATCGATGGGTCTGAGCGTTTTAAAAAAAACTGAGCTGCCAGTAAATGCGTCTGTTTCGTTTTAAATGCGCCACCCTGTATCTAGTAGTTCATTTTTGTAGAATCAGCACATTTTCTAAACAATTTTGAATTGCGAATCTACTGTCAAATAAGGCAAATTACGAGTAATTGATTAGGGCTGTGCTTTTCCCTACTTTGTAACCAATTGTTCTTATAATAAAGGAAACCTTTGCTCGTTGCATTTGGTTTACATGATTAGTAAAATCTAATTTATGATCAGCAGATAGTCGTAAAAATTAGCCGGTATCTCTTTTTGTGTATAAATTCGTAATTTAAAATTATAAAATCGAAGGAGTTTTTAAATGTTATAAATTTTGTCGTATCAGCATTGAAAGCTAAGTAATTGTGATCACACCATTTCTTGATTGATTCTACATATTATTATTACTGCCAATTTTTGTCGCAATTTCATTTATATCTGTCTTGACAAAGTATTTTGGTATCGTCAGAAAAACTATGAATTCAGCATTTATGTTCAAGGTTATTAAATCGTTGATACACGCTAAAAAGAAGATCACGTCTAGTACTTTCCAACTAACAATTATCACTCCTATTAGAGTTGCAAGAATGATTATACAGTATTCCTTAAACAGCATTGTATACTGTAAGAACATTGGCAAAACCCTCTTAGAACAGCTATACAAGCGGAATGGGCACACCTAATAGGACACTTCAGTCATTTAAGAGGTTGTATAAGGGCTGCAGGTAACAATTATAAAACAAAAGTGTAAGCCTCTTGCAGCCGCTATAGGACATTTGCGCCAGTGTAAGATTCAGTTTTTGTCAACTATACAACTATTCTGTTACGTGATTCTACTTTATTGCAACCAAACTATTTCTTATGTATTGTATAGACGAAGTGAAGGATATATAACTAACACATTACAGTCATCTTGTTTACTATATCGGCCATTGTGAATTTCATACACAGGTATATGATAAACTTCTACACTTTGATATAGGGCTATTGAATTACTTGCACAGCAAATTTTATTGTGATTATCGTGCAAATTAGTTATCCAATTTCTACGGGCTTCGTATGTGATTCATATTTTGACAAAGATCAAAAATATGTCTAGATTTTTAAGATGGAAAACTTAACTTATCTGCGTTAAATCTTCCACAAATCCTATATTTAGACACAATTACACTAATGTTTATCACTTTGTATCTGTAATTTCGAACTGAAACATAGTTATTTAATATTAAATAGAGGAATAAATGTTCGCCCAATATGGCAGGTGGCTGTGTACAATCATGGCATCGTCTATGTTGTCGTTAGGTTATTAGAATATTTTGGTGTAGCCTGCAGGTGTTATACAACAATTTGACAGATGTCTGAAATGAAATACTGACAGAGTCGAATGATTTACCCAGAATTTGTACCAGATCTATATCTTCTGTTTGAACAGTTGATAAAACCTTCTGAACCAATATGCATGCGTTGTTTGTCTTAAAACATTGGTTATGGCATTTTAACAAAAATATGACAGCAGAAAGTTAGGTTATGGTGACGTTGTTTACCAACATATTAAGCATACGTACAGCCTTTAACAGTTACTAAACAACAGTTGTATAAGTGCTTCCGTTGGGAGCAATTTGTTGGCTAATGTAGTAAATTGCACAGCAAAACAACAAGGCTCGGGTTTGTTTTATAAACGTCACCATGGATGCCACAACACAACCATTTTGACTAACTTGCAAATATGCCGTATAAAATAGTTGTATAAACGTTTATGCAACAGTTAAAAATTTGCCCTATAAGGTGTTGTATAACTATGCTATAAGAATATTTTAAACACCTCATTTTAGAGCAGATATGTTGCAGAAAGCAAATTTGCATTCCACACAACATTAAGCCAGCATTTTGGTGTTCAGGCAACAACAATAGAGAGCTTTTATGGCTGAACGGTTCTTTTACCAAAAGCTTATACCACTACTTTGCTAGTTGGGTTGTCCTTGAGGTGCCCCTCCCTTTATATGTTTCTTACTTTAAATATATGTTGTTAATTTTACAATTTGAGATCGATTATTTAAATATGTTTCAAGCAAATTGAGTTCCAATATAAGATTTGTTTGATTTTTTCAAAGGTATATCACGATTTATACAGGCAAAAGCTATAGAAAATCACAAAAAGATCAATTGAAATGACCTCCCATAAAACATATGGAAAATGGACTCGAGTTAATTTATCTGAAACTTGAGTATGATATATTTGTTGCTTTCCCGAGCAAACGTTCCAATGGATCCAAAACAACCCTATGATTAGTTTCTGAGAAATATGGGCAGTTTGTCAGATTTGTAAAAATGGTGAATGTACCTGTTGTTGTTATTCACCAAAGAAAGAATTTCATTTAAAATCCTTTTGGAAAGGGGTGTTGGGAGGTGACAGGTTAACTTTGGTCATGATCCTTACAAGATCAACTTAAGGGCAAGCTTATTTTTATACGTTGAAAATGGAATGAATTTGGCACGGGTTGTTCGAGAGTTAAAAAAATCACTCAAGAGAACCGTTCACTTCAGAAGGACACGGAGGAGTCGTGGTTGCTTAGGTGTCGTTGATTATGACATTTACAAAGTTAATGCAAGGTGATGTTTATTTTGAACCAGAAAGCGAAGGATACAGTGCACTATTGTGAACCTACCTCTGGGGTATTGTAATTGATTGACTATTAATTTGAGTTTTGATGTTTTGGCCTGCTTCCGGTATATTGAACTGTTTGGAAAGCATATAAAAAAGCATGTCTAGGGTTTGGGTGCCAAATTTACACCTTTTTTTCGGTCATAATGCACAGGCAATATTGCATAATCATCAGGTAAAACCGCGTTACTTTCATAAACCTGTCGATAAGATATACAGGGTGTCCCAGAAGTCGACCTCAAGCCGAAACCGGGTGATAGGCAAAGTCATAACAGCTATCAGAAAAATATTTAAAAAAATTTTGTGTATGTGTTTTGAAAATTATAGGTCTTTGAAAAAAATATAGAAATTTCACACCCTACGGCAGTCTGTCAACTCCTGTTACTACAAATATTAACTTTTTTTGGATTTTATTTTTACAATGTAATGATGAATAATGCATCTTCAAACTGGTGTCTCAATCTTACTGCCAACTTTTCTCGTTCAGGAAAAATTGCCACTTATTTCCCAACCAAGTATTCCAAAGTAAAACTTTGCTCAACTTTAACTGGCTGTTCTGGAAAAAAATCTACTAGGAGAGTTTGGCATGTAACTTTAAAAGTTGGCGCATTTAATAAGGATTCCAAAATGGTATAACACTTAGAAGATTACTCGTTAACTTATGCACAATTTTTATTTGAATAAAAACTGATGAAAATTTTTCAAAATTTCCTAATTAAACAGCGATTATGAAAACGCACAAGGACCCTTGAGGATAACTGTTTGCAAAACAGTGGGCGTCAAAATGCTGCTGTTTTCCTTCAGCCGCAATACACGCTCGACATCTTCTTAAAAAAGATCGGGTTATTAAACGAGCGAATCCACGGTTATTAACAAACTCAGCTGCTTCCAATAGTATTTGCCGTAGCTCAGCTACATTTTGAATCGGCTTGAAATACACTTTTTCTTTTACAGTTCCCCAGTAAAAAAATCTAACGGATTCAAATCTGGTGACCGGGCTGGCCACGGTATTGTACCAGACCGCCCTATCCATTTGCCTGGAAAGTTTTGATCGAGATACTCTCTCACTGAGAGTGCATAGTGCGCTGGGCAGCCATCATGCTGAAACCACATATCCCTGTAAATACTCAGTGGCACGTCCTCCAATAAATTTTGTAAATGATTTTGCAAAAAACCTAAATAAACCTCAGCAGTCAAAGTCTCTGGGAACTCAAACGGACCGATTATTTTACCATTTAAAATTCCTGTCCAATGGTTTATCTTGAAGCGATATTGAGATTTATTTTCTCTCATCAAATGTGGGTTTGCTACGTGCCACTCGTGTAAGTTATGCAGGTTCATGTACCCATCTTTCTTAAATGTGGTCTCATCTGACCATAAAATTTTTTCAAAGACCGTGGATCTTCCCTGTGTCTTTCTAACATTGTGCGACAAAAAGCAACTCGGGGCTCATAATCCCGGGGCAGAAGAGCTTGAACACGCTGTACGTGGTATGGATGGAACACGTTTTTTTGCAAGATTCTATGGACTGTACTTTTGGGCACACCTGTTTTTAGTTCTATATCACGCACTGAAGTACTCGGGTCTTCTTCGACAGCTCCTAGTAAGGAAGGAAAGATCTTCCCTCACCGTGTGATTGGTTTGGTAGTTGGCCCTCTGAGAACAGTAAGCGGTGCACATTTGTGAACACTCGATGATCTGGATGACGAGCTGCATTCGGGTACCTCTCACAGTAAAGTCTCGCTGCAGCACTAGCGTTGCATCTGCATTCCCCGTAAATGAGGTACATGTTAGCATATTCTTGTACGGTGTACACGGACATAGCGGCACTGCACAATCACACTATCAAAGATAGTCTAAGGAAAGCAAATGTTGTTTTGAAGAGCAATTACACAGTCCAAATCCAAATCACAAGCGATCAACAGTCCAGTTCACGAATCCAAAATTAGTAACAGTACGAAATCAACAAGCACGAACATGTAAAGATGCTCAGTAAACGAAGGAGTACGGTATCAAAGTGTGCAATAGCAAGTAAGTGATGTGCTTCATCCATACCACATACAGCGTGTTCAACCTCTCCTGCCCCGGGATTATGAGCCCCGAGTTGCTTTTTGTCGCACAATGTTAGGAAGACACAGGAAAGATCCACGGTTCTTTGAAAAAATTTTATGGTCGGATGAGACCACATTTAAGAAAGATGGGTACATGAACCTGCATAACTTACACGAGTGGCACGTAGCAAACCCACATTTGATGAGAGAAGATAAATCTCAATATCGCTTTAAGATAAACCATTGGACAGGAATTTTAAATGGTAAAATAATCGGTCCGTTTGAGTTCCCAGAGACTTTGACTGCTGAAGTTTATTTAGGTTTTTTGAAAAATCATTTACAAAATTTATTGGTGGACGTGCCACTGAGTATTTACAGGGACATGTGGTTTCAGCATGATGGCTGCCCAGCGCTCTATGCACTCTCAGTGAGAGTATCAAAACTTTCCAGGCAGATGGATAAGGCGGTCTGGTACAATACCGTGGCCAGCCCGATCACCTGATTTGAATCCTTTAGATTTTTTTACTGGGGAACTGTAAAAGAAAAAGTGTATTTCAAGCCGATTCAAAATATAGCTGAGCTACGGCAAAGACTATTGGAAGCAGCTGAGTTTGTTAATAACCGTGGATTCGCTCGTTTAATAACCCGATCTTTTTTAAGAAGATGTCGAGCGTGTATTGCGGCTGGAATATCGCTTGAACTTTCATTATAAATAGAAATAACTATTGATGTTTTTGAATATTCTGGGTACACATGTATTAAGAGAAATAAAGGTTGCTATAAAATATATTTCTGATTCCAAGAAAGCTACCGCTCTTCAACGAAGTAATGGCTGCAGCAGCTGCGGGGTTTCTCGCCATCGGCATAACGACACCTATGGAGCTGCTCAAGATTCAAATGCAAGACGCTGGAAGGATCAATGCACAAAGAATAAAGAGTTAGGTGAATGCAATTTATAAATTATGGGATCCACAAAGTTACTTAACGCTTTAATGGCGAGAACTGTTTTAACTATTAGCGTTGATTAACGTATTCCAACTTGATTCAGAAAATGGATGCCTGCATACAAATTGCATGTTGGCAAATGATACGACTTAGAAGTAATAAAAATATACATCATTCTCATTTAAAAAGAATTATTTATTCTTGGATACAATACTAACAATACTAACCCCCCCCCCTAGTAACTGCTCTTAGAATGTACTCAAAAACAGAAAGAAAATAGCCAAGATCTGCGTATATTTAGATATGCAACAATATGAATTTTGTGAGCTCGTACAATATCGCCCTCTACTCGACAAGGCGTTGTAATGTTAAGCTACCTAAATTCCCCCTACTCGGAATCATATGGAGTCCCATAGACAACGCACTTATTCGAAGACGTAAGTTTGACAGGTATACGAGGGTGGTCCCAGAAGTACCCGACCCAACAAAGAAAACAAAAATTTTGTAAAAAAACGTATTTATTTTTCAATATAATCTCCTTTGAGTTCTATACACTTTTCTCAGCGATGTTCAATAAGTTCGATACCCTTTTTATAATAAGAATGTTTTGCTCCTCAAAGTAGCCATTAACTGCCGACATCACTTCTTCATCGTTGGAAAATCTTTGACCACTGAGCCATTTTTTCAAGTTTGGAAACAGAAAATAATCCGAGGGGGCTAAATCTGGTGCATGAAGTAGCAATTCAATCTTTAATTCGTTAATTTTGGTCATTGCAATAACGGATTTGTGAGCTGGTGCATTGTCTTGATGAAACAACACTTTCATCTTAACCAAATGCGGCCGTTTTTGCTTGATTTCATCCCTTAAACGTTGCAATAAGTTCGCATTTTAACCGCCGTTGATAGTTTTACCTTTTTCAAGATAGTCAATGAAAATTATCCCATGCGCATCGCAAAAAATCGACGCCATAACCTTGCCTGCAGATGAAACGGTCTTCGCCTTCTTAGGAGTCGGTTGTCCCTTCTGAGTCCATTGTTTTGATTGTTCTTTTGTCTCGAGCGTGAAGTGATGGACCCATGTTTCATCCATGGTTATCAAATGACGCAAAATGTCGGCTTTATTGCCGTGAAACTTCGCTAAACACTCAATTGAAACATCTTCACGACACTGTTTTGGCTCGATTGTGAGATGAACTGCACTTTTTGAAGTGCCTACTATGTCTGCTAGCTCACGCACTTTCAGTCGACGATCATTTACTACCAGCTTTGTGAATTTTCTGCACCATTTCTGGAGTCGTCACCTCATTTGGTTGACTACTGCCATGCTCGTCTTGGCAGCTGATACGGCTTCGTTTAAGCTCTGCTACCCAATATTTTACTGTTGTAAACGAAGGAGCAGACTCACCCAGAGAAGAATCCAGTTCAGCTTTTATATTGGTTCGGCTGAGGCCTTTGAAATAAAAGTATTGGACCACATAACGATGACCAATTTTCTCCATTTTTACAAATTCACTGAAACCGTTCAGTATTGATGGTTGCCAAACAAATACTAAACAACGCGGCGTCTTCAAACTTGACACATATGCTTTATAGATTGTATACTTTCTAATACAATATTTTTCAAACAACTATCGCCATCTCTAGGTCAGGCCGGGTACTTCTGGGACCACCCTCGTAATAATAATAATTGACGTCTTTCTGAAGAGGCAACCAGTTTGTTAAAAATGTTATCATTTTAATACTTTCTGAGAAGGCGGTGAAGCTCATACATGTAGTTGTCTAAAGAGGCATCTATGAGATACTCACCTTTTCAAAGTAGATTTTTAGTTGTTCATTGCGGAGAGGAAACACATAGCGGTAATGAATTTTCATAGATGTCGTCAGGATATCACATACAATATTGGATAGTTTTTCGGGCGCCGACAGAACGGTTGCATATCTCTGAGCCCCTTCCCACTTCAGTTGGCCCACTTCAAGATTTGTACCAAAATATGCCTTTATAAACTAAACATGACGAAACTATTTACTTCTAAAACAATTTATTCTCTCAAAAACATTTTAGATACACTCTAGTCGTAAAAAATACATATTTGAAATCACTTAGACCTATAACTAATAGAACATCTGAACAAATAAAGAATGTGCAAATAAATGCGCGAAGTTAACAAAGTAATAATTGAAAGATTACCATTATTTTCTATTACGGCTGAAATTCTTTGGGGCATAGTGTTAACCAAGTTTTGGCAAAAATTTGGTGTAAAACAATCCCATATTTCTTGAAGCTTTTGTCTCAGTTCGGTGATTGTACGAGCAGGATGTTGCCGTAGAACCTTTTTCATCTCGTGCCACAAAGTTTCAATAGGTGACAGATCTGGACTGCTAGAAACCCATTTCAAAAGTGGTACATTATTTTCTTCCATCCATTTTATAGTCTTTTTTGAGGTATGGCACGCTGCACCATCTTGCTGAAACACAAAATCTTGCCCGGATGTCAAACATTCTTGCATCACTGGTAAAAGAGATTCTAGAAAATTGCCAAATATTTGTTTGTATCCACATTTCCATCAGTAAAATGAAGTTTTCCTACTCTTTTTTATGACATACTGCCCCCCCCCCCAGACCATAATGGATGCTGGAAATTTCACTTTTCTCTTCAGACAGTCAACATGGAATGCTTCATTTTTTGCGAATAACTCTACTGCGTCTGTCACCAACACAAACTTCCAATCGGGTCTCATCACTCCATTGTATTGCACACCATTGTTGAGGTGTCCATTGTCTATGTTCTTTAGCCCATTTAAGCCGATTTTTCTTTTGCAGTGGAGTTAATAGTGGCTTTTCTTTGGCCTATAAACAAGTTGTGCAACTTTAGGGTTTTTACTTCACTTTTTTTTATAAGGAAGCTTACCTTGCAAGTGCTAAATCCCAGTTTGTGGGCCTCTCTATGAGTTGTGGACCTCGAAATTCTCCTTCCAACAGCGTCACTCCACAGAGCACTTAATTGTAAATAATTGGCACGCCTGTTTTTCACGATTATTCTTCTTAATGCTCTTCGGTCGGCATTTGTGATATTACTTTTTTTCACATATCGTGGCTTAATATTAACTGACCCAGTTACGTTATATCTTCTACCAATATTTCTCACACTGAACCGCGATAAGTCTAACAAAGTTGCAATTTCCGAGTTTGATTTCCCAGAATAAAAAAAATTAATTATCAGTAACCGAATTTTCTCATTAATAACCTTTTCTCTGCCCATTTTGAAAACCTTTACTACCCAAAACAATTTTAAGCGTATTCTGACAGCTGTGATTAATAAAAACAATTGTCATGGCTTTTATTTTTCACAGCCACCTATGCGTTATAGACTTATTTTGCATTGAAATGAAAATAGGTTGATATGCTGTAATTGCAGCATGTGTTATTTTTATGCTGCAAATTTGATTAGGGAGTGATAAAGTTGGTGTTTTCTACTATATATTATCAAAATGTTCATTGATAATATTTTAAACCTATAACACCATGCTACATTTTTATTATTTGTGTTTGATAAGAAAGAAACTAAGATTTCAATAGTTGGGCCAACTGAACTGAGAAGGGGCTCGTATGTCCAGGTGAAATATGTTAATCAATGCTTTTAACTAGGAACTGTAGGTCGACCTACTTGGCATAAAGGTTATATTTACGGTCACTCAAGGTGGCTTGACATCATGTCATCCTGTTTTTCCGCGCATTACTTAGTGAGAACCTTGCAATAATTACAGTTGGCGAGGAAGTATTGTAATGGCGGAAAATTTTGAAAATGAGTTACGCTTTTTTGATGTATGACATGTACATCACGAAAAGCCATGACTCATTTCCCACGCACAGTCTATCTGTGAGTCTGTCTGCTAATCCTTAGCTTCACACAAGGTTACTACCGTTCCAAGAACGAAAAAGCATCTTTAATTTTTGAAAATCGGTCCAGCGACGACGGAACATAAGTAAAGCAAAAATAAAGTCGTTCAAGCTAAGTTTCATTTTCAGAAAATTGTTTGCCCTAAGTATTTTAATGAGCTTCCAACCGCAGTAGTGCTAAGCAGTTATCAGACATATTGCGCATATCATAGATCTCCCCGCACATTTGCAAGACAAGATTTAGAGAGGAAAATATTTTCAATATGCGTATCTCTGGATATATCTGCGTCGCAATCTGACCGATGTGTGGCTGCATGTGGCGAGGTTAGTCATAGCAAGTTGCCATATGGTCGGTACTGTTGGTCGAGCAGGATAACAATGTACAGGTATAGACCGCAATGTTTTCAAATAGCTGGTGACTATAGAGTAATTGTATGGACATGTATGACTAACTTGGCCCATTTAATTTTCTTGTTACATTTGTTTGTGGCTAAGTTGTTTCCCAGAATATAATTCTTTACAAACTGGTTTCAGTGTAGCGTGGTGAATACATAGGCAACCTACATAACGCCAATCAAAAAATTCAAATGTATCATTATGGAGAGATCGTATAAGTATTTCTGTAGGATCTGTCATCATTAACAATATAGTTTGATATAGTGCAATTTTGAGATTACATATTTTATATATCTTCCACAGAAATGTAAGAGTATAAATAAAATTGGAAGTGGGAAATACTTTATTCCTGTATTTTATGTATCCAAAATAAATTTGTAGGTGGTCAACCGTCGTTGCATTTAAGCCTGCCGAAAGTGATCATAGATCTGGTAGCAAAAGAAGGACCACTAGCGATCTTCAAAGGAGCATCTGCGACTATGCTCCGGGATATAAAATTTGCTATGATCTATTTTCCTATGTTTGCCAAACTTAACGCAATGGGCCCCAAAAAGGAACATTCTGGTAAGTATGGACGAATAACAATTAATTGAAATAATATATATAATAATAATAATAATTTGTCTGACGGCTTGACTTCAATGTGTACGAAAGATAAACCCGAGAAGTGTGTATCAGCACACGTTAGAAAGAGATAGAAGCCGGCTGAAGAGCGAAGGTCATCGCAACATTGCCTAGCAACGATGATGCAGAAGATCATACAATCTGCTGCGTCGCCAATACGTTACACCAGAAAATGTTCGCACAGGCTGCTACAATAGGTTAGGTTAATGTGAAACCCAATTCTGATGCGTTTTAGTGTCTTAATTTATTTTAGAAATAACTTTGATAAAATCAACATACGTTCTTACATTTTGCGACAGCGGCCGGTCATAAAATGTAAAAAATACCATTACGCAAATTTCTATTTGTAATTTTCACTGCCTGCGTGAACGGTGAAAACCATTTCGAAACAGGAAGACACTCCTCAATGACCGGTATATGGATACTGACCAAAATCGCTCACCTTTGATAATGAAGGTGGAAACCTTGCCTTGGAATGTACGAGATGCGGTGTTGCCAAGCGAACCAATGACGCAATGTTGCAGAGTTTGCGGTTATCCTGGCCTTTCATCTCGGCCTAAAATGGAGCGCCGTTAGGACCGATCCGAAATCGATCCTAAACAGACTCGGCACCCACAATTCACAATTCAAAAATGTGTACGCTTTTAATAGAACCATTACTTGGGCATAGAGAATAAACTATCGCATATTTTGAACATGCGTTTTAATTCAAGGAACTGCACGGGTATTAAGTATTTTGAAAAGTGACATTTTGTCGGTTTTTTGACATTGTACTTGTTTTTTGTGACACAGCGTAGGTTTTTATATAACTGTAAACTTAGCACTAGTTGTTGTACACTTATTGTGAACTGGTTTTGTAGTTGTACGTGTGGGCTAAATGTCATGGTGCTTCAGCTATCAATGATTGGCTCTGATACGATGTAACACCAATCTGCTTCAGATATGGCATTATTGGAGGTCTAAACTGTAAGTTATACCCTATAGCTGGAAGGAAACGGCAGGTGCATAGTGAGGATTTGTGTGCTAATAATCTGTGTTGATGATAAACACATTGGCTTTTTGTCTCAAATACACTCTTATTTGATATGTATTCTAGCTAGAAATTAGTTGCGCATTCATTTTTTCTTCTTCATTCGATAAGATAAGAAAAGAAAAACCCTGGTTGGTGAAGTAATTAACTTTATGTGGAATCTTATATTTTCGACAAGTATACAATGCTCTTCAAAAAGGCCCTTCCTTACTTATTTTCAGAGTGGGTCAAGCTTGCAAGCTCAGATTTATAGGATTTAACTTGATGCATAACTGCTACATTTGAGCGTAGGCGTCGGTCGAAAATTTCAAGATGGCGGTTGAGCGCGTTTTTGTAACATTTTCTTAAATGGAATGGGGGACATGTAATGCCTCATTGTGAAGCTCCGTATGAGTACTATACAGGGTGTTTCAGTTTATTGTTGCATAACTTTAAGATTCGATAGAACTTTTAAAATTAATGCATAAAGTCTATATAAACATGGGTCGAAAAATGCGTGGTTTCCGAAATACAGGGTGTTTGAATTTACTTTCTAAAATAGTTTTTTTTAAATATTCCGAACAATATTTGATGTATAACAGTGAAAATTGGTATACAAGGGTTTTTTGGTACGACAAAACGAACCATGGGCATAGTTTTACTGTAGCCGCTAGAGGGCGCTCTCTACTGTACCTGTGGTGTATTAAATTGACCGAACATTTTTTCTTAGTGCAATTTTTTGCTGATTCTTCGCACTTTTCAACATAAAAAAGCTCTCTAGTGCATTTTCGTTATAGTTAGCCGTTTTTGAGATATTTCGACTTTTAAGGTTCGATGCATTTTCCGACCACAAGTGTTAGGAGAGTTTCTGGTGCCTTGGGAATTTCAGCAAGCCATGTTCACCGTGTTCTTAGAAATGAACATAGACGTCCTTACCATTTGCAACCTGTGCGAAGACTACAGCCAGGGGACGGAGAACGAAGAATCACATTTGACAGTGGATTCTTGATAGAACTGATAATAATAGGGAGTTTTTAAGTAACGATTTATGGACCGATGAGTCATGCTTCACTAGACGTGGAGTGGTAAATTTTCATAGTCAACATATTTGGTCGCATGAAAATCCGCATGCAGTTCGGGAAAGAAATTTTCAGCATGAATTTAGTGTGAACGTGTGGATTGGTATCTACCGTAATCGACTATTTGGACCCTACCTTTTGCCTGCAAGGTTAAATGCTGCGACCTTCTTGGAATTTTTAAAGGCTGAACATGCAAATATGTGGGATGATGTTATGTTAGATTTAAGAAGATTGGCCTGGTTCCAGCTTGATGGTTGTCCTGCTCATTATTCGAGAATAGTTAGAAACTGGCTGGACGAAAATTATCCAGAAAGATGAATCGGCTGTGGAGGACCAGTCGCCTGGCCTCCACGATCCCCTGACCTAAATCCATTAGATTTCTTTGTGTGGGGATTTCTAAAAGAAAAAGTATACCAGACTCCCGTAACCACAAGAGATATGCTAATAGACAGAATCAGGAATGCATGTGATGAAATAAGGCCTTATTTGAATAATGCTATACCACGTTCGATCATTCGTAGATGTGAATTGTGTATTGAACAATTGGGTTTAAATTTCGAGCAACTACTTTAGATTTTGTATGTTTGTCCTAACTATCCAATAGCATTTTAGTTGTAAATAATTAATTTGATTTGTTAAAAATAATATTGGAAAATTAAACAAATTAATATTCTGTTTTTTTGTGTTTATTTGGAGTTAGGAATTATTGCTGTGTTTAAAAACATAATCTAAACGATCATCTTGATTACTTGTAATGCCCAAATCGAAAATGTAAAAAAAATATTATTTTCCCATAAATAATTAAAAATGCATCGAACCTTAAAAATCGAAATATCTCAAACACGGCTAACTATAACGAAAACTCACAGGAGAGCTTTTTTATGTTGAAAAGTGCGAAGAATCAGTTTTTTTATTCAAAAAGCAAAAAATTGCACTAACAAAAAATTTTCGGTCATTTTAAAACACTACAGGTACAGTAGAGAGCGCCCTATAGCGGCTACAGTAAAAATATGCCCTTGGTTCGTTTTGTCGTACCAAAAAACCCTTGTATACCAATTTTCACTGTTTTACATCAAATATTGTTCAAAATATTTAAAAAAAACTATTTTAGAAAGTAACTTTAAACATCCTGTATTTCGGAAGCCACGCATTTTTCGACCCATGTTTATATAGACTTTATGCATTAATTTTAAAAGTTCTATCGAATCTTAAAGTTATGCAACAATAAACTGAAACACCCTGTATAGATCATTCGAATGTTTTTGACCTTGCTTATAACTCAACAACTAATCGTCAAAGTGTTATAGCAATCTTTTTCTCTTCGAAGGGTATATCCGGATATGAATATCGCGAAGACAGAACGCTAGCAGTAGCGTACAACTATTTTCCATTATGGTGCTGATACTATAACCGTACAGAATGTGACTCGTATACACCTAATGTCGTTGAGCATATTTTTAATAAACATCCATTCTTTTGTAGGTGAATCTCAATTCTGGGTGAATTTTCTGGCTGGCGGGGCAGCAGGATGCACTGCTGCTGTCCTATGTACCCCTGCTGACGTAATCAAAACTCGATTGCAAACTGCTACAAAGGGCAAAGGTGAAGTTACCTATACGGGTATCATGGATGCATTTAGGTAAGTTAAATACATGTAATACTCCCAGCTCCCAGAGGAGGGTGGACTTAGGAATCTGTCTAAGGGTGGGGGGTAGCGACGATTAAAATTTGAAGTGCTGAGGGGGAATTCGTTTTATATTTTTTAATTAACTTTGGATGCCAGAAGTAATACCGTTGTTTAATGAACCACCCTGTATATCAAGTTATAGAGGTTCAGTAGTTACTCCTCGTATGGTTTCCGGTTACAGTATTTATCACAGGATCTTTGGGATAATAGGGAGCATACATTTTTTTTATATTCTCTGTCGATTATTCATTTAATATAATAGTACCGTAAACACATATTTCATTAATGGACGTATCTGTATTTACTTTTGATTGGATAGATGCCAATGACGTTAGCCGTTTTGGCATTGTACTTGGGGCAAGTTGTATCATGCGTTCTTGTTTTTATCTGCCGGACTGCTCAATATTAATGAATGGTGAATGTGTCATGTTTTGGAATCAGTGCATTCACCATTATTGAAATAATAGCCGCTCCCTTTTTTTGTGAGGGGGGAATGCGTTTATGCACCATTCCATAGCCCGAGCTACGGCATGTGTGGGACTCCAGGTTGTCTTGAGGAGACCACCTAATATCCACTAAACCCTAACCTCCGCGTGGCCCGACTCATCAGCGTCTCGGTAAGGCCATGTGTTGTGCGTGACCTGCGGTCTGCTCATTTGTTTCAGTCTCTGGGAACGCCAGGTTGGTTCCCTTTACCTCGCACAGTTCCATCGATGTCGTTAAGCGAGCATCGATATAGGGTTTGCTATGTTCTCTTAAAACTCTTGTTTTCAAAAAATAAAGAGTTTCAAGTCCTCTATTACTTGTATGTTACCTGTCCTGATGGGTCCTGGTCCTGGTTGGTCCTGGTCCTCCTTCATGCAGGCGTTTAAGCATTAATTACTAAATATCATAGGCGTAGTCAACCCAATCTCCCGAAGGGAGTGCGCCGCCGGTTAAACAACGGCAAGAGTGTGTATTTTGAAAGTCAGCCGCCAAAAGTTTTTGGGCGGGTAGCAATTTTTCTCAGAGGGCAATATTGTAGACAAAGGCATGGTAAAATATTCAAATTTCAGAAGGTGACTGGAATGGTGCCACGGCCCTCCCTGTCCCCTCACCTACGTGCCCCCATTGTGACCAATAAAAGTACAGTGAAAGCTCTCCTTGCGGACAGCTCCTATAAGCGGACATCTCTTTTAACCGGAAAAAGTTCCTGGAACCGAATTTCAGCCATCAATTTTCAATGTTAAATGCATTCCGATAAACGGACGCTCTTATAAACGGACGCGGACACTAGATTTTCCTGTATGTGATCAAAAAATCTCCCATAAGCGGACGCGAAACTCTAATACCCGGACGATTTTTTAGTTCCGCTTATTACAATGCACATATCTACATACATAAAATTCGGTAATTCCCCGATTTATATTAGGTGATTCCCCATTTACGCATTTCGTTGGGTAGCCTGTATGTAATCTTGTGGCTTGTCTTCAGTTCAGGCAAATTCGTAGTTGATTGAGTTACGTATTTTATTATTGTAACTGTAAAATGGCACCAAAAAAAAGGATGCTCTCGTTAAAGGAAAAGATGGAAGTTGTTAACGTATTAGACAGAGAAAGTGTTTCAGTTCGTCATTTGGCAAAGAGGTTTAATATTGGGAAAACGCAAGCAGCTGAAATTGCCAAAAATAAGGAAGATATCAGGAGTAAATGGCAATCAGGAACTAATATAAATCAAAAGAAGGATTTTTTAAAAAAGGAAGGTTTTGCTATAGACAAAACATGTTTTGAGTGGTTTGTGAAAGCTAGAAGTCAGAACATTCCAATCTCAGGGCCGTTAGTGAAAATGAAAGCTAAAGAAATCGCCACTACTTTGGGCTATAATAATTTCAGTGCGTCCGACGGGTGGCTGCAAAAGTGGCGCAAGAGACATAGTGTGAGTTTCAAATGCATATCTGGCGAAGCTGCTGCAGTAGATCAAGTTGATGTGTCACAATTTTTGGAGAAACTTCCGTCCATGTTGCTTGGCTACAAACCAGAAGATGTGTACAACGCAGATGAGAGTAGACTTTTTTTCGCGCATTGCCCGACAAAACTCTGTCCTTTAAAGGAGAAACATGTGTGGGTGGAAAGTTGTCTAAAGATAGACTAACCATTTTATTCTGTGCAAATATGGCCGGTGAAAAATGCGATTTGATTGTGATCGGGAAAGCGGCTCGTCCCCGTGCTTTAAAATACGTTGCTATTAAGGATCTACTAGCGACTTGGAAATCCAACAAAAAGGCATGGACGATCCGAGAAATCATGTCTGAGTGGTTAGTCGAATTCGACCGGAAAATGAGAATCCAAAAAAGGCAAGTTCTTTTATTTTTAGACAATACATGCTCTCATCCTCGTGATATGAAAATGAAAAATGTGAAAATTATATTTTTACCGCAAAACACAACTTCTGTTTGTCAGCCCATGGATCAAGGTGTCATACAGAACTTTGAATTTTATTATCGGCACTTGATTTTAAAACATATTTTAACAAAAATTGACGATGGTCAAAGCTTATCTGAGCTTACAAAGTCTATCAATGTGTTAGAAGCTTCGTATTTTATAAAAACAGCATGGAATAAAGTAAATTCCTCTACAATTAAAAACTGTTTTGGCAAAGCTGGATTCAGAAAAAGTGAATGTAGCTCAGAATTTGCTGAGCAAAATTATTGCGATGCTGAAGACGATCTGCCCTTAGCGACACTTGCTCAGTTACTGCGACATGCCAAACATTTAGGAGTAGCAGATCCCCAGAAAGTAGATGATTTCCTGGCCATAGACAATAACATAACAACAGAAGAAAATGCCATTGGCAACTTTTCGAATTTGGATGTAGAAAGCCCAGGCCAACTTGAATATGGTAGTCCAAACGACAAAGAAGAAGAAGTGGAACTGGTGGACTCACTAAGCGGTTCAAAAACGATAAATTCATATGGGGAAGCTCTAAATCATATTTCTATATTGAAAAAATTTGCTAAAGATGATTTCACTGCATTTCAACATTTGAAAAATTTAGAAAGTTATTACGAAAATTGTCTCCTTCAGCAAAAGATGGTGAAATTTCGTCAAACATTTTAAACTTTTTTCAACAAGCTAAAGAATAATGTTTTTTTTAAATTCTCGTACCATATATTTATGTTTTTGTATGCGTATATGTACATATATTATACGTATATAGATATATAGCATAAATACATACTTTAAAAATGTGGCGAGTTTCTGTTTCATTTTTCTCATGATTATAATACCTCATTTCCTCATGATTATATACCACGTTATTTATACTCTATACTTACATACTCTCTTTTAAACGGACACCTCCCATAAGCGGACAAAAGTTACGGAACCGTGAGTGTCCGCTTATGGGAGCTTTCACTGTAATTAACTACACATGCTCTAATACATTTTAAGAAATATTTGTTAAACTTAGAACAGCCATTACAAGCACTAGATATAAGTACTTACATTATTAATAAAATAAACTTCAAATAATATAAGGAACTTGAAGAATACTAAACTAGAACGCAGTTCAATTTTCGATCTTCACTTTGGAAGATGTTGTTATTTCAAGATTCATATCCTGATGGCTATGTAAAAAGCAATACCTGCTAATCCATTCATTCTTCGGTATAGTAGAATTCCTAAAAAATCATGAAAAGCTCAGTTCTGGAACCCTACACTTATTGCTGGACAAATCTTATAACAATATCCGCATGTATACTATACGTTCAAATGTCACATGTCAACCTTCACTCATGAATCCTCGGAGCATCATCATTGTGCCACTCCCTTCCTCAATCTGTCACTGCTTCAGAGGCCACGAAATATTGCTTTAGTTTATGAATGACATTGTTGCGAAGGACGATACATAAAACCACAAACATTTGAATGACGATTTAATAACTTTTAACATGGAGATTCCACCATGAATAGTAGTAATACTGCTTTCGTCTGTCCGATCACAAACGGCCAACCATGGACCGCTGTTTCGTGCTTTTTGGCGACTAATCAGCATGATCTATGCTTGGTCCATGGTAGGTCAACGACCGAAGGGAGAGCAACTATTTACAGTACTCTCGCAGCGATCGATTCGGGTAACAGATAGCACTTTGTGCTGTCATATTTCCACTATGATAAATGTCAGGTGTTACGTTAAAATGCTTAAGCATCGCGAAGCCCTATTTTTAGTCGAACATTGGTAGTTTTTAGCGTAAATCTGATTAACAAATTTGTGATATACGCACGTAACTCTTGGTAAAATTCGGCTTTGGTCGATATTGCAGATATACAAGAGCTTTTCAAAAATTCATTAGTATGATTTTAGCTGTTTTTTTTTAATTTCGATCGATAGTCAACTTTCGTAGCTTCCGGTGAACAAAACTGGATACACTCACACTGTAGAGTGTCGAAGCGGATATTTAATCAGTCATAAATCAATCACGCTGCTTAATTTGGAGTGATAGTAAGTGGAGAGCATTTCGTTATATTTTATTCTAATTACAGACAGACACTGAAGAACGAAGGGCCAAAAGCTTTCTTCAAGGGAGGAGCATGTCGCGCTATGGTAATTACTCCGCTACTAGCAATAGTGCAAATGGTGTACTATATAGGCGTAGCAGAGTATGTTATGCGAATACCGAAGACAACGGATTAAGATATAAAGATTTGCTATTCCTGACATGTACCATTTTTTCCAAGAAATGTTTATACCACTATCTCCTTTTTCATTTTTGACTATCTATATCTATGAGAACTACTATAAAACCAAATGACTAAAAACGTTGGCGTATCAGTAGACACAGTAAGGTCTAACATGATGATTATTATTATCACACCATATAAAAAAATCCTAACCGTGCCTATCCCTCTGTCTGTGATAAGCTGAAAATCTTCCGAACGGATTCTCGTATGAATGAACAGCGTACTCTTGACGAAGATTTTAAGGTATACTTCATTATATACACTATTCGCCATTTGTTTGTCTGGGCGGTCCGTCAGTACTGGTTGCCCAGAAACCAGGCAATGTCAAGGAAACAGAGAAAGGGAAAGAGAAGAAAAATGGAGAAGAGCAAGGAAAAACAGAAGTGTTTAGTTTAAGAGCAGACACGTGCGCTTTTTGACTTGGTGCACGGATTAATTTTTAGGTGAACTAAACAAATTTTGATTCGGTTTTGTTGAATGTAATTTTAGGGTTACTAAAAGTTCGCGCTAATTTTTGATTACAGTGCGATCCGTGGCCTTGAATGTTTACGAACTTGCTCCACTGTGTCGTCCACTGAGTCGCGCAACAGAGGGTTGCTGTGTGATTCTGCTTGACCATAACGTCACTGCGCCTGAAGTTTGACATAATTTTTCAAGTAAGGAATGTCAAGGTGTCTGTGTAGTTTCTCGTGTGAGACATACCATGGAGCGTTGCAAATTGTTCGCAAAGTTCTACTTTGCAGTACTTGAAGACTTTGCATATGTATCTTGGCAAGAAAACACCAAGCTGCACATGCATAAGTAATGGCTGGTCTAATAATCATTTTAGATAGTCGAACTTTGTTTATCAAACTCTGTATGTTTCTGCCAGGTCATGCCTTTATCAAGGGTGACATCGAGGTACTTGGCAGAATTTGTCCATGGTGCACGATTGCCGTCTACAGAGACCTCTGCTGGGGGGCCGCGATGTTTTTTGGTACAATAAATAGCCTGCGTTTTCGAATGATTAATTTTAATCAGCCACCGTTCCGCCCACTCTAGTACTTCTTCTAGCGCCCTCTGCAACCCCTCGTGAACCAGATCACCAGTACACGACTGGGCAACAAGTGCAGTGTCGTCAGCATAGAGGTAGACTTCACAGTTGCTGGGGCAAGGGACATCATGGATAAAAAGCGAATAAAGGATTGGTCCTAGGACCGAACCCTGAGGAACACCGGCCCGTACTGGCCGTCTTGTTGACAAAACATTGTAAATTTTGATCCGGAACTTCCTTATTTCAAGAAATGAATTCAGTAATTTTAGGAGCCAAAAAGGAAAACCCTCTTGGTTTAGTTTATAAAGGAGGCCCGCGTGCCACATCTTGTCAAAGGCTTTTGAGACATCCAAAAGCAAGATGCTAGTACTCCTGCTGAGGGTGAACCCTCTGGTTGCATGTTCCACCAGCCTGACTGCCTGTAGCTCGGTGCTATGCTCGGACTGAAAACCGAATTGAATGTCAGGAATCACATGGTGATTTGACGAAAAATTATCAAGGTGACAATAAATCACCTTTTCGCCGAGCTTAGAAGGAGCTGACAGCAGACTTATGGGACGGTAATCCTGAGGAAATATAGAACCTACCTTATTTGAAATCATGATGACCTCAGCAGTCTTCCACCCAGCAGGGAAGTACTGGATTCTGAGCGTCACATTGATTATTGTCACCAAATATGTCAGGGCTTTAGGCGCCGTGTTGGTGATTTGATCCTCCCCAGGTGCTTCACGCACCTTGAGGTCTTTAATCTGACTTAGGAGCTCCACTGTTGTGCAATGTGGAAACTCGGAGGGTTCGCTAATGTGCTATGTGGAGCCTCAGACGAATCTTCTGAAGAAGAGTCATCTGAAGACGATTCAGTGCCTCCGCTAACGCCGTTGGCCCTAAAATATCTCCTGACGGATCGTACGATGTGCTGTTCCTCGTCGAGGTCATTATCAAGATCATAGTTGGGAGAGAACTGTTTTTCCATGGCATCAGCGAACACCCTTGGCCTTATCCTCCGTTCTGAAGACTATGCCTTCAGGACCGTGGATGTTCGGGGAGTTGTTCTCGCTTTCCGTTTCTGAGTGACTTTGCGACCCTCCAGAGATGAATACTTGAATTAGAAAGTCGCTCCATTGCTCGTTGCGGAGTTCGTGCAGTGCGTTTCTCACTTCATGGACAAGATTTGTAGCCCTACGAATGTCATCAGGTTGAACTTCATTAGATGTATCAAAAACTTGCCAATAATATATAGAACAAAGTTCTACAAGCTTATACCATTGATCATAATTCCCGTAAAATGACCACTGGGCTATATGCTTAAATGCTAAAGTTAAGTCTCAATGACTAATTTTTATTCAAATTAGTCACTTCCGTGTAAGTGAACACTCGTTTGGGCGCAACATAGGCAAGCACTATACTGATCAATGTCTCCGCCTCTCACAGGGTAGATCGGGGTTCGATTCTCTCCCAGAGAAGACTAGTGTTTTTAATTTGCACCCTTGGGTGTACAAAATCTAAACATAATATGCCTCTTTTCAACACACAATCCAACAGAACTTCTTAATGTTGTATACAAAGAAACATGTCGCCAGGGTTATTACGTAAAGAACCTATATAATATAAAAAACCGATAAAATGTCCACTTGTTGACTAGATAGCAGGTAGTGTGCAAATAGTTTATTCAGCGTCAAAAAAAAACCAACAGAATGCCACTTTTCAAGTAATAGTCTTGCAGGGCGGGACGCTGGTAAAACATATAAATGATACCAATAATATTGATAGAAGTCTGGCTACTTAAAACCACATATTCATAAATTGCTTTTTACTGTCATTTCGGCCACAACGGGGCGCGGCAGCCTTTTTCAAAGAGCAGTGGCAATGACAATATATTTTACATTAATATACGTCTTCCAGGTTTTCTCTTTTCATTGGATTCATCAGTGGATAGGGGGAGGTAAATCTGGTATTTCCGGTACTTGGATAGAATAACTGTGAGGCTCAGGTTCATCCTCGTACAGGGTGTCGCACAGGTCGATACAAACATTTTTGGGACCATAAGCGTACTTATCTAGGGCTAGCTCCTAACGTTGATTGACGTATTCTACCTGAAAATAGTAAACCTAATACTGTATTTAAGCGTCCAAAAATTATCCAAGCTACCACAGAGTCATGTATGAGAATTAGTTACAGCTATGTGTCTCCTTTCAGCAATAACTAGAAATCAACTGTGAAAAGATTAGTATCAAAGGTGGTGCTACAGCGTCGGTACTTCTTTGAACAAATGATTATACAGGGTATTTCAAATTCGACCCTCACCATTGGGATCTCGGAAACTTAAGAGATACAAAGTCGCTTAAATAGGGGCAAAGTTAAAGTACAAAATAAATGGCACATTAATATTACCACTTTTTCTCCTCTACAAGAAGGCATAATTAGAATTTCGTCTCTTGTCCTCCAGCATCAACTTTATTTTTTTTATGGACGCCACGAAGTATAATACGTCAAACATTGACATTGCCAAACCTCAGTGATTTCAAAAGAAGCAGAATTTCCTAGGTAGGCCTTGAAGTTATTGGATAGTCATCTGTTTTCGCATACTATATTTATCCCAAAATCATTTTTATTTTTCCTGATTTCATTTGAGACCGGATTTTAAAATAAATTGCATGTCGTCATTGTTACTTATTCTCCTATAATATGACGTAGTCAAATTTTCAATTCGACAATTCATTTTTTTGACTTCCATCGCCAACTTTGTTTTTTCGAATATATTCTTTATTAGAATACGAACGTTTAAATTTTAAATGGATTTTTCAGTTTTGAATTCAGTCATGTATTTACTTAATTGGCCATGCATTTGTTGTTGGAAGAAAATTATAAGGAATTAAAAAGGCATGGTGAAACCTGAATACAAAATGAAAATTTCATGAATGGTAATAACAGTAATAGTCATAAATAAGTAGAGATAAATGATAGATGTTCAAAATGTCGTCCGTTATTTTGTAGGCAAAGCCTGACTGTTCTCTGTACATTGTTCACTGCTCGATTTATTTCTCTTCTTCTCAGTTTTCCAAACTCTGTTGCTATGTTTAATTTGAAGTCTGGTCTGGTATATGAAACAACTGTATTTGATAATTTCAAGGCTTACGTACGATGTTCTGTTTTTCTAGAATAACTAAGGTTTGGCAATATATACAGGGTGACTTCGAAGTTGAGTCATTTATTTTAACAGTGAGTAGATCTGATCAAAAGAAATGTTTTTTTCCTTTAACATTTTCTGGTAAAATTAAAGTAACAAAGTTATAGCCCTTTAGAAGTTTGAGTACCGCCCTGTCTCAATAATAATATTATGTGTTTGGCAACAACGGATATCGGTTCATCGCATCGGAAACAAAAAAGCGAAAGAATTTGAAACGTTTATCACGTTGTTTTTCGTCAGTCGGTAACGCGTAGGTGAATAGTGATGTTTGTTGCGTGACTCAAACGAAATGAAAAATGGCACATGTTTACGAAAATGCTGAACTTGTGGACATGATTCTTATTTACGGGGGGGCAGTCTTTACAAAATGCTGCCGGGTGCATCACGGATTTATGCGAATCGGTTTCCCAATCGAGTGCAACCAACCCCTCGTGCCTTTGTTAATGTAGTACAAAGGGCTCGTGAATCAGGTGACTTAAGACCTCACAGGTGAGAGCATGCCGGTGCTCCAAGACCGCACGATCAAATACAGGTCCGCACTGAAATACTTGTCGGGAGGATACTTTATTAAACAAGGTAACATTTTTTTTTTATTTTTACACACATATTTTGGTTTATCTTCCTTCTACAATCATTATCTGAAAATTAATGACTCAACTTCAAAGTCACCCTGTATATAAATATAAATATTATACATTTTTGAAATCCGAATTAACAAGTTTATTCGTGTGTGCAAAAATCCAATGTGGCATCCGTACGAAAAAAAAAGTTAATGCTGGAGGACAAGAGACG